GACCCCTAAATGCCCATAAATGCATCCAATACAAGGGAAAGTTGGGATTAAAAGAGACAAGGAGATAAGATAAAGGAATTTATTTTGTCAAAAAACTAGACCATGTGAACATGTATCAAGAATTCCTCCCAAAGTTTGGGAAGGGGCCCATGCAAGTGTGGGGATCTGAAGCTTAAATGCATGATACTTCATGGTGCTTTAGCCTTTGTTGGAGAGCTCTTGGTACACGTTATTGTATGAACACATACAAGAATGACCCTGGTGTTTCTTCAGATGCATCCCAGGCAAAAATGGCCCCACGAAAAAGGAATATTTAATCTTTACTGCAAATGGGGTTGAACTCAGCTAGATCTTTTTATTTTCTGAGGGGACTTAAGTGAACGACAGACTTAAATCCCATCATTCACTGTGTGACTCAATCACCAGCGGCTCTTCTCCCTCCTGACTTAATTCATTCCCAGCATCAGAGCAAGGTAGCCAAGAGTGTAGATTCTCGAATCTCTTTGCTTGGATGCAAATCTGGTTCATGACTGAAGTTGGTCCAATTAGAGTTCTTCTTTGGGAATTTTCTAACTGAAGCTTAATAATGAGATCTAAAATAATCCCTCAGTTACTGGAGAAAACTGGCATGTACTAGAAAAGAGTAAAGCCAAGAGGAGGCAAGAAGAAGGATGAGTGGAAGAGCAGGCAGGACTCCAGGTCTGGTACTCCAGGCTCATCCAACATCTATAGTGCCTGTAGCTCCTTTCATATGGCCTATGTCCTCACACATACTGGTTTGGGAGATAAGCTAGTTTGAATTAGGTTTCTGTTACTAGCATTGGAAAATGTCTAGGACTAAATCTATTTCCAAACCTGCTTCTCCTCCTGAAGTCCACATCTCTGTAATGGCCCACTCCAAAATAAACCAGAGTCCTGAAGCCATCCTTGGCTCTCTTTCTCCCTCCCCTCTTCTCCCATATGTTCTTTTACACAGTTATGCAAGCTTTTCATTGTCCAAGGATGCCCACTGAAACTTTTCTAACTATGAACCTTGGTGTAGGGCAATGTTCCTTGAGGAGAAGGGGTTCTTTTCTCTAGTTGTACATCAGCTCCCTGTAGGATACTGGGCCCACTTCATATATGCAGTTGTTTCCTTCAGTGCAGGAAGCTTTGCCCTTCCTCTCTTCACTGATAAACTTCTCATGCCCCACAATCATCTCTCATTGCACCATTTACCTTTCAGCACTGTTTACAAGATGCATTTATTCATTTGGTTATTTGTTTAATGGGTATTTTCCCACTAAATTTTAAGCTCTGTGCCTTCCATGTTCTTCACTACACCCTCAACACCTACACATTGTTTAGCATATCTCCAATCCCATGCTTCCTCTCCATCCCCAGGCACTGTCCCAGTTCAGGTATGTCAGATCTTCTCTGAGCAACCCTGGTATCTTCCCAATAGGTCTTCCTGCCTCAAATTTCAAGCCATTCTGCAATTCCAGACTTGTTGTTGTTGTTGTTGTTGTTATTGTTAAGTCTGATATTGTTAAGTCTGTTCTGACTCATAATAGTGACTCTGTATAGGATTTCGGAGGAGTGGCTGGTGGGTTTGCAGTTAGCAGTCCAGTGCTTATCTTATAGTGTCACACCAGAACTCCCAGACTGGCTTTTCTAAAAGATTTATTTGCATCCTTCTCCTGTTTAGATTCCTCTGGGGCTCTCCACTGCCCAGAGGATAAAGCCCAAGCTTATTAACATAGTTCATGAGTTCCATTGTGGTTTTATACCTGCATTTTCCCCATGTCACCTCTGGCCATTCTCTCTCCTTTGAGTCTTTGCATGTTCTGGTTCCTCAGCTCGAAGCATGCTTCCTTTGGCCCTCTTTCCTGACTCTATCAAGGTTCTTGACAGGTTTTACCTGGTTTAGCTCAACCTCCTCCAGGCTAGTAGGGAACCTTTCCACTCTGCTCCTATGGCATTCCTCTGCCACATACACCCCCATTACAGCTCTTAATTCAGTGTTGTGATGGAACCAGCTGCCCACCAGTCTGATTTCCACAAATGTATGGGTATGGGTGCTGCTCAAGGGTAACTTCTGTGTCCAATGATCTCTGTTTTCACCCAGCACAGGACCTGACACCTACTGAATGAATAAATTCATAAATGAGTCCCGAGGGTCTCAAAGGATTATAAAGGATCCTAAGGGGGTATCTGGGGAAGCAGCCAGCAGACGTGTGGAGGATCCTCAGTACCAGAGCCGTTCTAGGAGGCTGCCTGGTAACCCTGTGCTGGGAGAGCAGAGGCGGCTGAACAGATCTTCAGACCTGTGGCGAGGCTTTTCCTTCAGACACTGCCTCTTGCCTGCACCTGTCTCCCACTTGTCGAGCAGAATCCTTGGAGATGGGACCACAGAAGTTTCCAGGAAAGAGGATTTATAGGGATGGGATGTAGGAAGTGCTGAGGTCCTGCTGGCAACTGTGTGTGTGTGTGTGTGCGCGTGTGTGTAAATGTATGTGTGGTACATGAGTAGAGAAGGATTTTTGCCAAGCCATCCCTTCCAGGGACTTTGGATCTAGACAGAGGTAGAAGAGCCTGTATGTGTGTAGTTCTTTCCTCTGTGGTCTGTGGGCATTGTGTGTTGTCTACTCTTGTTTCTCAAGATAGCTTAAATAGAACCTCCTCCAGGAAGCCCTCCCCAGCAACCTGGATAAAGCAATAGCTCCCTCCTTTGCGCCTTGTGACTGATGCTGGTTTTCATGTGCCCGCTCCTCAGAGGCTCTGAACTCCAGTCTTCTTATGAGATCTCAGACAGTGCCAGGATCCTCTAAGTGCTAGGTTACTAACTTAATAGAGTTGTCTGTGCCTGTCTTTTGCTGTCCCTTTGCCATTTATTACACTGATCACTGAATGCCTGCAAGTACCTTATAACTTACAATGCCTTTCCACATTCATTTAGTTTGTTCCTCATAGTGCCATGAGCATCAGATCACACCCTCTCTACAGACGAGTGTTCTGGGTGACACCTGGGACCATGACCTTCCAATGTTCCTCTGGGTCCACTCTGTGTGAATGGAAGGGTCATGATTCTCCACCTTGCATATTTCAGAATCATTTGACAAGTTTTGTTAAATACCAATGCCTGCCCTTGCCCTTGTTTGTTGTTAAGTGCTATCGATTTGGTTCCGACTCAGAGAGAGGCCCTGTATCCAGTTTTAGAGAAGCCGCTGGTGAGTTTGAACCGCCAACCTTGCAGTTCAAGCCAACTTTGCAGTCTAGTGCTTATCCTACAGTGCCACACATTAAATAAAAATATCTCGGGGGTGAGGTCAGATATGGGTATTTTGTAAATCATTCAGATAATTCTAATGTGCATCCTGACACTCACCTGTGGGTAGTTATGTCATGGTCAGAGAAATCGTCCACATATTGAACATTTAGATAACAGCACTCCTTTCTTCCTGGACCCTAGGCTTCTTCCGTACGGTAAGTTTTCTACCTACAGAGGTCGCTGCAGGACAGCTGGTCCAGCTTGCGGATTTTCCTCCCAGTCATCGATATCCCTCCCCATCCCCAGGGAAAGCCGGACTCAGAGCCTTATAAATAGTGTCTTTATTTCGAACACCTGAGCGAGCTCGCGTGGCCCGCTCGACTGCCGTATAAACATACAAAGTCCCTGTCGCACCGCACACCATGCCTCAGAGATAAATACAGCCCTAGGGGCTCCTGCTCTGGCAAAGCAACTCTTATTTACAGGAATAGATTACAAAAGTATTACAAAAAGTGGTCCTGAACCGGGGAAGGGGGAGTGGAAGGAGGGAGGTTGCGGCTACACCTGATATACTTGGGACTGGCATCCCTTGGGCTGTGGGAGAGTGAACTTGGCGGGGCTCCAGAGAGAAAACACCACGCCCCCAAGAACGTCGGGGGCGTTCCCAGGCGAGGCTCGATCAGCAGGGTCCCACCCGGCCACGGGGTTGGGATGCGGAAGATGATCGACCTGATCCTTCAAGGATCTGCTCTGGCCGGCCAAGATTCTGAACAGCCATCACAGCCGAACTCAGGAGAGGGTGCTGCTTGGGAAAATCGGACTGTGCCCTTGTCCTGGGGGGAAGAGGGGCTGAAACACTTCAGTTCTCCCGCCTCCCCCATCTCGGGAGGGGTCGCTTTTCAAGCGCGCTCGGGGAAGGGATAGGCACATTAAGCGCAATCTTTTGGGCGCGAGGGACCCTAGGGGCACCATGCCTCTGGCAGGTGGGCTGCAGCGCCCTCCCTCTCAGAGCACCTGGTAGATTCGGTTGGGGTTCGTGCCCTCAGGACACGGCGTGGCGCCTTCCGGTGATGGGGTGGGGGCAGTGAGCTCGCTCTCGCTCAGAACGACCGCCTCTGGCGGGCCGGAGGGCGACCCCGGAGGCGCGTCGGTTAGCAGATGCGCGGGCGCCGCGGGACTCTCGGTTGAGATGCGCTCCACAATGCTGGACAGGCAGTCGAGGCTCGAGACGGTTGCGCTCTTCCCGGACCTGCCTTCTGCGCGGGCAGAGGTGGGTTAGTGTGCAGGTGGAGTCGGGCCACTTCTCCCACCCCCGCACCAAGTGCTTATGGGGCAAGCGTGAAACTCAGGGCCTGCCAAAGTTCGGAACCGATTCAGCAAGAGTGCAGGGCGGGAGGGGATGTGGGCACGTTTATTAGTTCACTCCCTACACCCCCCCCCTTCCAAGATGTGTGTGTGCGCGCGCGTGTGCCAGGGGAGGGGTCCCAAATAGACGCCAGATAGCTCGAAGCAGGCGTGGGAAGGAGGCGCACACAGAGGGCGAGCAATCGGAATACGTACCGCTGGGCGCTTCGCTGTAGTAGGCGGTGTCGTAGCAGTTCCGCCTCCCGGCGCCGCTCAGGGGGCCGCTGTAGTCCGTCTGCAAAAAGCGGGGGCGACTGTCAGGCCCGCAGCCCAGCGCCTGGCCTAAGCGCCACTCACAATGCTGACCCCTCCCCAACTTCCCAATTCTCAGCTTCGAATTCCAGGACTGGGTCTGCCCTGGATGGGAACTAGGGTAGACCGGAGCTAAAATCTGCAGTTTGCAGGGCCGAACAGAGGGCGGACAGTCAGAGCACAAACCCGCTGTTCGCTGTTCGAAGGTAGGGATAGGTTGAGAAAAGGCAGACGGCTTATCAGTGTTCTAATGATGCTCCCAACCAAGCAGATCGCATCTTTTCCCTGCACCCCCAAAACACCCCAGAGACAACTGACCAGGACACGGGGTTTCAATTTCTGGGAAAGGATAGCTCCCCGCCCTCGGAAACGCGTCCCAGATATTCCAACCGCGGATTCCACTTCCCCTCGGGTCCAGGGTCCCGGCCTTACCATGCCGTCGGAACAGTTGGAGCGCGGGCTGGAAGCGTCCGAGTCGCCGCTGTAGTGCTCGCCGCCTCGGCCGGGGGGCAGCGGGCCCGGAGCGTAGAAGGCGCTGGCGGCACCAGGGGGCGCGGTGTCCTGGTCGCGCAGCAGTGCCTGCAAGCCCTCTATGTATCGAATGGCGTTACGGAGAATCTCCACCTTGGGCAGCCGCTGGTTTGGGTTGCTTGACGTGCAGCGCTTGAGCGTCTCGAAGGCCTCGTTGACTTTGCTCAGACGGCGCCGCTCGCGCATGGTGGCTGCCTTGCGGCGGTCGGCGTTGGTGGTCTTGCGTTTGCACGCCTTGCAGGCCCACAGTAGACAGCGACCCGCCTGGTGGTGCCCGCTGGGTGCGCGCACATGCTCGTCCTCGCGAGCGCCCGGGGTCGGGTGCGCGGCCGCAGGGAAATGCGAATGCTCCTCGGGCTTCAGGAGAGCGCCCACGTGCACTAGGCGAGGATCTAGGTCCTCGAAGAAGCGCAAGTCTGGGGAGTCGAAACACGGGTCGTCATAGAAGTCGTCGGCTGTGGCAAAAGAGCAGAGAGAGCCGTCAGGGCCCGTCAAGTCCACGTCGCGCAGCGGCGGCGACAGCAGCTCCATGTCCAGGCGGGTGGTGGCGCAGTCCTGTTCTTGCCCAACCCACACGGCAAGGGTTGCCCGTAACTTCCTGAGGCTAGCAAAATACTGGGTGTCTGAACCTTCAGCCGGCTGTCCTCCACCCCGCCCTGTCTTGTCCGACCTGAAGTGCCTCAAGGAAAGTGGAGGTAGCGCCGTGGGGCTCCCCTACCCCAAGCTTTGCGCCAGGCGCCAGTGGCTATTTATCCCGTATTAGCCTAAACTCCCCAGAGCTGAACCGGGCGGCTGGGGGCGGGAACGCCCGAGACCAATGAGAACGGGGCGGGGCGGAGCTTGGGGTCTCCAGTGTGGTCGCTGGGGCTAATGAGTGTCCCACCCCCGTCCAGTGACACGCGCGCGCGCCCCGGTCCCACCCTGGGCGGGGAGGGACGTAGGGGTGGCAGCCCAACGCGCTGCGCTTGGCTCACAAGCACACCCTTTCCAAATCCTTTTGGCATCCGTCTTCTGGTGCCGGTAGGAAAACGCTGTCCACGCGCGCTCACCTCTGCAGACTTTATCTACTGTTAGATGAGGAACCCAGAAACGGTGGGGACAGGAAATCAGACTGGGAGAAATGTGGAGAGAGACGCACAAGCCACGGAAGACACACTCAGAACTGAGTTAGTGAGACGGGGAGAGATACACCCAAAAAGTTTGAGTGACAGAGAAGCTCCCAAGGAGAAACATTGACACAGTGTAGTGGATGAGCCTGCGATAAACTGGACGTGACAGGTTTGTCACTTGGCCTATCCCTGTCCCGGGAGTCTCTCAGAGGGCTGCGAGCCCAGCCTGTCTTCTCTGGATGCTTAGGAACCTATAGGCATCTATTTAGGAGTCAGGGGTTGCTTTTAAATCTTTTCGCCAATTTCTCCAAACCGAGATCCTTCCACCGCCCAGAGGCAGGGAGGCGGACTCTCGCCTATTTCAACTGTTGCATTGCCCCAGTTTGGTGTCCAGTGCGGACGTCTGGGGTTTAGGCTGAGATGTCTCTTCAGCTGAGAACACACCTTGTTCTGTTTTGGGCTTGTCTCTGCCTAGAGTTCAGTGCTGCATCAAGAAAGGCCTCGAACACCGAGATTGCGCCTGGGGAACCTCATCGCCTCAGTCTGGCGTTGAGAGTGGACCAACGTGCTAAATTGGAGTCCAGATTACAGTTTCCTAACTGTAATTTTGTGGAAGTCACATCTTTTCTGAGCCACAGCCTACTTACTCACTTTGTAAACTTGGGACTGATGATAGGGATCTCTTAGAGTGACCTATTTTCATGGAGTAGTCAGGGAAGGCCTTTCTGAACCAGTTACATTTGAACACAGAACTGAATGAAGCAGATATCTGCTGATAATCTGGAGCCAGCTAGAGGGAAGAGTATGCACAAAGGTCCTGGGGCAGGTTTAAAGTATAGCAAGGAGGCAGGCACAGGGAAGAATGACAAGAGATGAGGTCACAAAGAGAACAGGATTGTATTTTGTGATGAAAAGCCACTGGAAGGTTTGAACACAGGAAAAGAATGCCACCATCTGCCTTACATTTATTTGAGTAAGAGTATGTGGGTTACCAAAGGACAAGGGCAGATGCAGAGAGACGAGTTAGGAGATCATTGGAGTAATACAAGTGAATGGTGACAGTGGTTTTAATCTGGGTGGCAGCAGTGCAGATGGCAAAAGTGGCTGAATTACAGATATATTTTGAAGATTGTTGTTGTTGTTGTGAAGTGCTGTCGAGTCAGTTCTGACCCACAGCGACCCTGTATAGGGTTTCCTAAGAGCAGCTGGTGAGCTTGAACTGCCGACCTTGCAGTTCAAATGGCTTTGCAGTCTGGCGCATTAACCCACAGCGCCACACCAGCCAGATATAGTCATGATTTGATGTGGACAGTAAGAGAGGAAAGACATCAAAGATTCTGAGAATAGGATGGGGGAAAACAACAGGTTTGGGAGTAGCAGATCAAGAGTCCAAGTTTGGGCATTTAAAATTTGAAAAGTAAGTATCAGACACCCAGGTGAAGAAGTTGTCAAGTAGGCAGGGGGATTTGTGAAGCTGGAATTCTGAAGGGGTTACTTGGATGTGAGGAAGACCCATCATCCAACATTTAAGACATCTCTTAGATTGGTCCACCTTTCTCCATTCCCATACCATTCTGGACTATGCCGCCATCACTTCTGACCTGGATGACCACAATAACCTGACTGCTCTTCACACTTCTACTCCTGCCCCTGCATAATCCATTCACTACATTGCAATCTGAGTGGGGGGAAAAAAACACAAAACACAACAACTTTAAAAATGGTGTTATTTCACTCTCCTGCTTCAGACTTCCCAATAGCTTCTCATTACATTTAAACCAAAACCCTATCTCCTAACGATATGCAAAAGATTGAAACACCTTGTACAAAAACCAACTCAGCATGGATTAAGGACCTAAATGTGAATCCCAGAACTATGAAGGCCATCAATGGAAAAATAGGGACAAATGTGAGGGCACTAATTCAGGGAATACACAGACTACAAAACATTTTGAAAACCACACAAACAGAAGTAGACAAAATAGATGAGTAGGACATACTAAAAATTAAAAACTTATGTGCATCAAAAGACTTCACCAGAAGA